AATGTAAATTATTATTTAAAAAAAATCAATTACTGCACTTGTTCTATTTGAACTTCTGTTTTATTATATTATATTCAATCAATATGATCGTAAAATAATATTTTTGTAAAACGTTATGTAATAAGTAACAAAATTAATTAAATTTATAAAAAGTTCTTTTTCATTTTCTTCTTTCAATTATCTCTTATATATGCGTCTGTTACTAATGAAAGAGAATAGTCGATAATTTCTTTTTTGTGTATTTCTTTCGTTCAATCATCATTCGTATAGTATGATATTGAGTGCACGACATCTCATTTGTTCTTACACATTCCAGACGAAAAGAAAAATAAATTGAACATAACATGTGTAAAGACGACATAGACATCGTGCACTCAATATCACAGCATGCGTTAAAACAACCGGTTGTCATTATGCGCTGCGTATTAAAATTCCGTCAACGTCGTCTTTCTTCGCGTTTCTCTATTTTTTCTTGGTCTTCGTAACAGAAGAAAAAAAAATTTAAAACAAACGGAGCTTTTGAGGGTGGCTCTAAAACAAAATGAACCTTCCCAGGGATATCCAACGTTCTGTTGGTAACCTGTACAGGCGTGTAGATGGTAGGCTTTCATAACATACATCTATGTATGTAGGACTAGAAGCATTCATCTCGTCATCGTCTTTCCGAAGATGATGATCATGGATGTACTAGTCATACATACATAAATGTATGTTTGCCTTATCATTGCCAACTTTGTCCACTGTACAACCCAACAGAATACGGAGGGTATCCCTGGTCGCGCGTGCGCGAAACTTTTGTAGTTGGTGCGCTTCGGCGAGCCAAACGTGTTCAAGATGGTCATTTTATTTTCTTGTTTAAAAAAAAAACAATTACATTTTCTTTTTCACATTTTCAATATTTCTTTTCACAAGTGCAATATGTGGATGATTTGAAGGTAGTGATTTTTTCCATATGTCTTGCGCCTTTTCGTAATATGAAAGTGCTTTCGAGTACTCGCCCATGTTATAATACACATTACCGATGTTGAGGTAGGAAGAAGCCAAGTCGGGATGAGTCGGAGGGAGAGCTATTTTTTTGATTTCAAGTGATCGTTCGTGCGATGAAAGTGCTTTTGAGTACTCGCCCATGTTATAATACACCAAACCGATGTTGTTGTAGGAAGCAGCCAAGTCGGGATGATTCGGAGGAAGAGCTATTTTTCGGATTTCAAGTGATCGTTCATACGATGAAAGTGCTTTCGGGTACTCGCCCATGTCTTTATACACCGAGCCGATGTTGTTGTAGGAAGCAGCCAAGTCGGGATGATTTGGAGGGAGAGCTATTTTTTTGATTTCAAGTGATCGTTCATACGATGAAAGTGCTTTTGAGTACTCGCCCATGTTATTATACACATTACCGATGTTGTTGTAGGAACCAGGCAAGTCGGAATGATTAGGAGGGAGAGCTATTTTTCGGATTTCAAGTGCTCGTTCATACGATGAAAGTGCTTTCGAGTACTCGCCCATGTTATCATACACTATACCGATGTTGTTGTAGGAACTAGCCAAGTTGACCTGATTCGAAGGGCCCATTTTCTTGTAGATATCGATTGCTCTTTCGTAAAATGTTATTGCTTTCGAGTATTCTCCCATGCTATAATACACCGAACCGAGTTGTAAATTGTAGTTCGCCCGATCTCGATCAGAAGATACCCTCTCGAGGAGTATCTGATAAAGATGTTCTGCTTTTGCAGACTCACTCAGTTTAATAAGAATAGAACCCAGTCGTGACCACCCTGTTCCCACAAAGTCAAGCTGTTTGCGTAAATGTGCTGTAAGTTTGCTAAAATCATCATCTTGATTACCAGCGAGGGTGAGATTGACTTGCCAGAGACGATCTGTATGCTTATCTTCAATACGTTCTATACGATCGATGCGAAAAATTGTATGAGTGGAGAAAAGAATTTCTTCTTCTTTATCGTGGAAGAAGCCAATATCTTTGACGTTGACGAAAGGTGTTGATGAAGCTATGCAAATAGCCGTATCGATGTTCATAACAAAAAGGATGCCGACTGTATTTGCATCGAATGCTGCTGGTCGTGCAAAGTTTTTGAAGGAAATATCACGATTACGACTTGTCGATAAGAAGTTATTAAAGGACATAAGTCCACCTTTGGTTTTCTTCATTTTTTCAAAGGCTTCCATGGATAAGCCTTGACCACGAAAAACTTGAAATTTTGATGGCATGGCTGCTTTGCTGTTTTGCAGTTCACGATGTAAGTCTGTAATATGTTGATGTAAATGGCGGATGAAAAAGCCCATTTTAAGAATAATGTCGACATCCATTTGTCGAAGACCACGATTAAGCATTGAGTACATGAAATAAGGAGCCGTATACCACCAAATCGGTGTATGATCACGATATTCACGTTCGATTAGTTTAATTTCATCTTCAGATATATCTTCTTGTTCACGACAGTATGTAACAAGATCTTTGATAGATTTTCTATCATCATCTTCGATTTCTAAGACTGCTTCTTTCAAAAGTTGTGTGTACATAAACAATGCATCAAGACCATTGAAACTGATCGGGATCATAGTTTGATCACATCGTTGTCGATCAATTTCTAGGGCTTTACAAATTGGTTCGATTTTTGTATATACGCCTTTGATCTTCGATACTTTGTTGGCCCATTGTTCATGATAAGATTGATTACCACAAAAAACGTACACAGATTCTAATTGTGGCATGGCTTCCATTTCTGGTACAAATTTCTGTCCAAGTGAACCCGATACGATCATAAATGCCTTTTCCTTTGTAATGCCACTAAGATAATCGAAACATTGTTGAGCATCGGTGAATGTTGTAATGGATGCTACAATTCGTCGTAATTGTTTTAATGCGTTTTGAAAATCTTCCTTTGACTCGTCAATATTAGCATCGAGCCAGACGAGAAGAAAATTCTGAATAATTCGACGAGCAGGTTGAGGAAGCGCAGCACTTCTGCCCATCGTTGACACTGATGCTGCTGTTGATGATGATGATGGTGTTTTCTTTTGTTTATTTGTTGTGGATGATGAAGAAGATCCACTAGCAGTCGATTTTGAATGTTGCTTTTTGTCCATTTGGATGATGTTGATAATAATGATGGTGTTCTATGTTTCGTAAATGAATGAATGAATAAATAAAAATCTAAATACCTGTTCGATGGTGATGAAAAGAAAGAATGAGCAAAAACAGAATTCGTCTCTTACTCTCTGTAGACAGTTTTTATTTTGGTTTTTTCTTCTTTCCTGTTGATACTTTCTATTTTTTGGTTTATTGTTGTTATCACTATAGACGACTTGAAGGATTTCTTATCTCAATCTTTTGTTCGTTCGTTTTTGTTTTTTATTTCAAGAGTTTTGTTACTGACGACATGATAACGACAAAACATGTGACGAACGAAATCTCTGTGCATCTGGCATGAAAACGAAGAATCCGTCCAAAAAGCATGAATAATTACACTATTGATTGATCGTCATTCGTAGAAGAGAAAAAAACGAAAGATTATGAATAGAATCTCAAAATGAATTGCTTCATATATTGTTTGTTTTCATTGTTTTTTAGTTTTCGTTTGCTTTTATCTGGTATCATTAGAAAATTCTTTTATCTTTGTCGATGTTTCTATGTGCAAGATACCTAGAATCAATAAAATAGGCCTCTTACCAAAAGACAAATCAAAATAAAAAATAAAAAACGAAGCTACTCGTTTCTATTGTGACCTTTTTTCTAGTAAAGTATTTATTTTAATCATAATACAGTGTGAAAGCAAGAAAGAAAACAAATTCCTTTTTTAATTAATGTAAAAATGTTTAAAACATTTTTTTTTCTGAAGATACAACAGAAGTTTCTTTAGTTTTTCGATAGAGATCATTCTCTTTTTTTGTTGAATTGGTTGTTTTGCTTAAGTCATTATGTTTTGTTATCTTTTGAAGTTTGCATCGCTATCTCAACGAGACGAGGAAGAAGCAGAAGGACAAACGACAATAAACTCATATAATAAAATGAATCAATGTTATTTGCATTGTTGTCAAGGTTTTTTCCAACATCGTCATTGTAAGTAGATAGTGAGAATGAGCAACGAAATAATACCACGTGTAGGTGTGATATCCTATAGATATAATGCTAATAGATTTCCACTAATAACGAATGTATTTTATTTATGTGAAGAGATATGAATAAAAACATGATTTTTTTTTCATTATTTGTAATATTATATATAATAAAAATATTTATAGAATTCAAAAATGTTTGTTCTTGTTATACGTATTATAGTTTAATAGAATTTATCACATACAACTAAATGTTATAATAGTACAACAAGAAAACAATCGAAAAATGTGCCTATCAGACATACAATAATTAGAAGTAGAATTCAAAAACTATACACACACACATGACTGAAATGAGAAAATATAAACATATACTAGTTTTTATCTATTAATAATTCGATATTGTACATAAACATGATATGGTAGTTTTGTCAGATCATTATCATTATTCGATTGATATATTGTAAATCAAAGATTATTGAATGAATCAATATAAATTATCTAATAGTTTAAAACAATATAGGAAACATTATTATTTACATAAATTAAAAAGTAAACATATTTGTTTTTTGTTGAATGCAATGATTTTCATTTATAAAAATAAAAGTCAACACGATGATATGTTTTATATTCAAGAAGTTTTTTTTTGAAATATAATATATATAAGTAAACGAACGACTTAATATTGAAATATAAAACGTTTTTATTTTAACAGCAGCGAAAATGTTTTCTAATTGACAATATCAGCTAAGAAAGACTATCGAAAATGACACAACTCACATTTGCAAGTTATTTTCGATCTATCTCGTTTAGATCGAAGATAAAAAGAAAAAGAATGTATAATGATGTCATCGTATAGTAAAAACAATAGTTTTCTAGTTATAAACAGCCTATATGTATACTATACGAAGAACGAAAAACATTCAATGGTCGTGCTGTATGTATCACTATGTAATAGTCTCAACGTAATTACACAATATCAGTTGGTTCCATCATAAAGATAGTCTATATAGAATTTACCTTTGCAGTTTTTCTGCAAAAGTAAATTCTGTCATTTTCGATAGTCTTTCTTAGCTGATATTGTCAATTAGAAAACATTTTCGCTGATGTTAAAATAAAAAAAGTTTTATATTTAAATATTAAGTCGTTCATTTACTTATATCGGCTTCATCTTACTGTCATTGACAGCCTACACCCACATCCACATCCATACCTGCACCCATACTGACACCTATACTCTAGATCCACATACTCACACTCCATACCCAAACACCCACACCCAAACCTACATCCACACACCCGTACCCACCCCATAGTGCACACTGAACAGGTTCTTTATAGTAGCATTTTTTTGCAGATCTGGTAGTGACATGAATGTGAGCTGGTGTGGGTTTGGATGACGAGAAGATCCACACCCTTACATAAGATTGGATCTTTTTTCGAAAGCAAACCCTACATACACGATAACGACATACTGTGGGAGAAAAAAAAAGCAGATTTTAATATTGACTTGGTTATATTGACTACTTGCGATAAGACTCCTCTCTTGTGCTCTCTGTTTGCCAATAAAATATCGCTTCTTTTGTTTGACTATATTCATATTATGCACTTCGTCACAAATATTTGACGAACTTCAAGATACGATATAGACACCGTCGTCTGTTTGCCAAGATTGTGTTGCAAAAGATCAATTTTTTTCAAGAGAAAAACGGCAGACTCCAATCCTTTGGATTCTCTTGAAGTCCGTCGGAGTCCTTTGAAGTCTCATAAAATACTCAGTAGCTCTGCAAAAGCTTATCACAAAAATCTAAGACAGCTACAGCTTGTGTATGGGTGTCTGTGGATGTGAGTTTTCTCTTCATGCACATACTCACCCGCCCGCCCACGGCCAGATCCACATTCACACTTACACCCACCCAACCCCAAAAGAATGATAGAAATTTTCTTTGTTTTTTTTTAGGGAGATGTGAATTGTGCTTCATTTGTAGCAGGTATTATTGAAGCTGTTTTATGTTTGAATGGTTTTACATGTTAAGTTCTCGCTCAGCAAGAACCGCGTGGCACAATTTATCTAATTAATTTTTTCAAATCGGTAACGGAACAGGAAAGTTGATTTGATAGTAAATGAATACATAATTAATTAAAGTAAATTAGTCCTTTTTAAAGATCAAATTTGAAATTTTTCGTTGATTTCTTTCAGATGTATGCCAAGAGGTGGATAAAAATAAATAAATAATGACAACAACAATGATAACTTCAACTTCTATGAAAGATAAGAAAAACATTCATCCGCAAATAAACACAATCGATCAATTGTTGCTGGCACACTTAAAGTAAATACTTAAGTAATTATTGAAGCTGAACTTCAAGCTTAAGAAATTACATTAGCTTCATTGATGGTAGAATAGTCGATTGGAAGAATTCTTTCTGTTTACAAATAGAATTACAAATTAATTTATAATATATATTTTAGTCCGAAAAAAGTAAAAATAATTTTATCAAATGCTCGATTAGGTCGTCTTATTTGTCAAACCAACTCATATGCAGCACTACTTCGTGATAGTAAACATGTTAAAGAAGACATACTAAATAAACAAATACATATGAAACACAACTTGTACAACTTGAAATACTTATTATTCAACAGGGAAAACAAGTAGAAACATTAAAAATTTGCACTTGATAATACTGAACATAGATTTATTTTAGTTGGTTCGAGAACTTGAAAATGAAAAAAAAATCCATTACAAACATTTCAAAATCAATTATTAATTGTTCAAGAAGAAAAATTTCAATTACGAAATGAAGTAATTATCTCACAAAAAAGAATTTATTTAATTAGAATAAATGTTTTGTTTTTCTAGCTTGATAATATTAAATTAGATAATCAAGAGTTAGAACAACAATTAAATCATGTAATGAAATTACTGGATCATGAATATGAATCACAAAAACAATTTGTTATTCTTCTTTCAAATGAACATGAACTTGAACGTGAATATCATAAAGAATAATTAAAACAATTACCAAATCCTCACATCAAGTAAAAAAAAGATTTTCTTTTAAATTAATTTTTTAAAAAATTCTATTTTAGTGATGACAGACGACGCCAAGCGAAATTTCAAGAATTAGCATTACAAAACAAACGAAGTAAACAAGTGTTAACAGCATGTATCAAACAATTACACAGTGAAATTGATTTATTAATTAAAGAAAGAAAACAGCAATCCGCAACAAATAGTAATTATTTATACTTTTTCTCTTTCTACATATACTAAAAGTTAACGCGACGCAAACGTCGCCGACCCTCTACTGAAAGGATATGATGCTGCAGAGATTGGAGTATTTGAGCAGAAAAATACAATAACTATTGTATTGGTATACATACTGGGTAAGGACTATTTAAAAAACTTCTATATTATTTTTGGAAGGGACACATCAAATTATATTAGGAAAAACATTTCGACTTTTCTAAAACTTTCGTATGAAAGAAATCTGTGAAGACTATCGTATACAAGAATGATAAAAAAAAGAGCCACAATGCTGACCTGTACAAAGCCTTCTCTGATCTGTGGCACATTATATTCTTGAATGAAGCTCTTTTCTTCTCACTTCACATTGAACTTAGACAAATGATAGAGTCTTACTTTAAAATTTTTTGTAATCCCTAATAAAAGTATTAATAAAGTGGAAACGTCAGCTTATCATCTTCTTTAGCAACTGCGATTTTTTATCACTAGTTGCTCTTGAAAACTCATTTTCTACAAATCCAAATCCAAAAACGCACGATAAATTCATCGACATCTTCAAAATCTCATTTTCTCACACCGTACACTCTAAAAAAATCCGTTTCCTAGAAAACCCAAACTACTTCGGATACGCTTCCGGAAACCCTTTAGAGTTTTCAAAAGGGTTTCCGGTCTCCACTATGGGTTTCAGGAATATCCTCTTGGTTTCCGAATGTTCGAAAACCAAAGAGTTTTCGAGAATGCCGATTCGGATACCCTAAAAGTATCCTCGGATTCTCTGATGGTTTTGAGGGAAACCGTAAAGGTATATTAGGAAACCTATATTACTAGCAAAATCGATTTTCTACCCCAAGGGGTATCCGACAATACCATTTCGGTTTTCGAGGTATTTCATCGGAAACCGGAAGGGTTTTTGAAGCTTCCAAATCTCAGAATAGTATAATGGGAAACGTAAATAGGTTTCCGAAGAATTTCATCGAAAACTGAAAAGGTTTGCGAAACTTCCAAAACTCAAAAAAGTATAATGGAAAACCTAAATAGGTTTCCGAATTTTTTTGAAGCCTTCGAAGACTTCCGAAGTTTCGAAAGCAGTCGAAAACTGCTTCCCTTAAGTGATGTCAGAGCCTTACCACTATTTGGAAGAAACTTGGTGGGGATCCGAATTTCGATCTTCATTTTTTTTTTCATTTTAACGGTTATTAGGACGCTTGAAGCGACTATGTGTTTATCACAAGGCATTTGCTTATCAATGATTGCTTCTTGACATCAACATATTTTTATACATATTCATTTCATTCTCTCAAAATAATCAAACATCATTTTTACATTGTCAATTCAAGTGTGGCTACTGGTATGGGACAAAAAACATAGCCTTGACAAAACTCAAACCATTGAATAACAACATTAACTCTAATATGTGTCTTTTCTCTTTGCTGTTTTGATAAAATTCTAATAAAAACGCCGACTAAGTTTAGGAATTGGAATCCACAAAAGGTGAGAGAGAGTAAGAACACTAGAAATATTTGTCATTGTAAAGTTATTCTAGCTGACTAATCTACAAGAAGATAGTATCGATGGACTTCAAATCATTCAAAAAAATTAGTTTTAAGCGAAAACGAGGTGATGATATCATTGTCATCCACATGTGATTGCAACAATTTTGTCCACATATTTGTCAAGAGAACAATGAATCATCATTCTATGTTATCTGCCTTTCTTTTTTTCCAGTGTTTTCTCTGCTAACGTGGTATAATCTAATAAAAATGAAAGTTTAAGCCTCTAATGTATAGATTCGTAACAGTGCATTTGTGTTGTAATATTGTTTACTTTATATTGAATTGATTGTGTCGTCTTCACATTTCGGTTGGCTGAAAGTTATCCAAGTTTGAGATAATAATTGTTTATTTCGCCTCATTTAATAACAATTTTCATTAAAAACAACAAAAATTAATATAAGCGATTATTTGTATTTTCTCTGATGTTGTCTATAACATTTCGTTTATATAACAGTTTCTTGTTAGAATTCTCGACTATTCTTTAGGTTTTCGAAAAGAAGCTCAAGATAATTTTCTTATTCATATGGTACTGAATCAAGAGATTGAGTAATGATAACTATTGGTCACGATAAAAAATGCACAAACTGTTTCTAGGTGCACTCTTGCATAGTCATCATAGAATGGACAAAAAAGAAATATCAAATCTCAAATGCTCGTGATTATTAAATGTACCTATCTGAATGCTCTCAGAATACATTGATATCAACCAAAGTTTAAATGAAAGTTAAAAGTAAAGTTTGAGGATGTTTACTCATCTACTTCAATGTTTAGTTGTAATGTTAAATTTCGAACACCTCACTTCGTTTAAGTTCACAAACATCTGATTTTTAAAATATACTAGCCTTGAAAATACAGATAATAAGGAAAACAGTCAATATGAAAAAGATTGCTTTGAAAGAAACCTAGACGTTTTTTACATGATTAACCAGGGCAGAGGGTATCAGCCAAAAGCACGGGTTGGGACGGGTCCAGAAAAATAACGTTTGGTGACACGAGCGAAGCTGATTGAAAATAGATCAAAACATGTTCACATGATTTCCTAATAACCCTGTTCATCTTTTAGTTTGTGCATACGACGTTCAAACCACTTTCATATCATTCAAACACGCTATAAGGAAACGTTTTGAATGCTATTCGACAATAAAATTGATTTTTCTGAATCTCTAAGCCTTTTGATGTTATATATATAAAATAATACATATGTACCACAAAGATGGAAGATTTAAAATAGTTTGCATGCTTTTTTTTTATAGATGAATACTACTGATCCATTCACGTGGGAAATAGATGATGTTGCGACTTGGCTACGTACTTTCATTTCAAATGATGAATTAATTAAAGAATTTCAAAGTGAGTCCTATAAAATATGTAATGGACCTCTTTTTCAGGTTGATTTATAAATATTCTTTCATCTTATTATCCTTTCTCTCTTCCACCTATCATAGTTTAGATGTTTTTTACTAGGTACTATCTCCTAGGAAACTAGCGTTGTATAAGCTGACTTACACCTTTAATCTAGAAGTTTGTTTGATTTTGTATACGGCGTATTAGGTGATACTTAGTTAAATGATTTTGTTTCTTTATTGTAAGATTAAGTAACTCAATCACTCAGTGATGTCCACTAGAGTCTTTTTGTGCAAAATTTGCATTACCAATCGATCATTTAATGAATTTTGTGATTATTTTCGTCATGTTACATTGTATCATGCCAATGAACCTAATTTTCGATTAACATGTGATATATCAGACTCTTGTGGTGTTATGTATAAAACATTTACGTCATACAAAAAGCACATTCATCGGCATCATGAAAATTTACTTCATCCAGTATGTCAACAACAAGAAAATACCGTTATTAATGATATGAATACATTAGCAATTCAGCAACCTGATGCAACAGTTATATATCCAGATACAGCTGATAATAATCATGACAATGTTATATATGCAGATTTTGATGACGATCTTGATAATCAATGGAACACTCTAACAACAAATATTTCTAGTAAAGATGAAAAAATAAATCTTCTTACAGTTCAACAACAATTCATCCGATTTTTACTAGAAATGAGAGAAAAACACATTTTGCCTCAAACAGTGATCCAATCCATTACAACACATATAATCAATTTACTAGATAGCGTAGTTGAGCTTGTAGAAGAACAAGCAAAACAAGAAAATATGACTCAACAACAATCAACAACAACTATTTCTGTTGATGGAATGCGCAAAACAGTAAAGCAGATAGAACAATCAATTATTCTCTCAACTCGAAATGAATATCAATTTATACAATCTTGTCAAAAGTTTTTCAATTATTCACCACCTATAGAAAATGTTTTATCATCAAATCATTTGAAAAAAGAATATTCATATCATATACCTATACGAAACACTTTAGAGAAAATTTTACAAAAAGATGAAATGATACCACTTCTAATTGATAATATTCAACATCAAACTTCAATAACACATAATGATCCAGATTTAATGTTTTCAAGACGGGACGGTATTAAAGGTAAAATATTTAAAAATCAATCATTTTTAATTCAATTATATGTCGATGGCATCGGTGTCACAAATCCGATAGGTCCGAAGAAGGACCAACACAAATTGACACTTGTATACTTCATGTTAGAAGATATACCGAATATCTTTCGATCTACGTTACAATGTATTAATCTTGCAGCTATTTGTTACACAAAAAACCTGAATAATGATGAAAAACTTAGAAAATTTTATGATCCGATTGTAAATGATTTGAATGATTTGCAATCTACTGGTTTAATATTTGATACATTTAACAGTCAATTACATTTTACATTTACGACAATTGCTGCTGATAATTTAGCAGCACATGAAATCGCTGGTATGCAACAAACATTCAGTTCCGGATATTTTTGTAGGAGATGCTTAATAACTTATGAAAATCGACTTATACCATTAACCGATATTCACTTCATTCAACGAACACATCTTCAACATACAAAATGTTTACAATTACTTGAAAATAATCCACACATAAAATCAATGTATGGTGTTATTGGTCCAAGTCCACTTGATAATTTAATAAATTTTGACACAACTGCTTCTCTTCCGGGAGATGTGATGCACGATTATTTCGAAGGTAACTATTCATAAGATAAAATTTTGCTTGTAGATTGATTTTTTTTCTTTTTTTTTAGGTGTATGTCCGATCATTATCATGGCGATGTTAAAGGAAGCATCAAATTTAAAGCTGATTACTTTTGCTGCTATTCAAGAAAGAACAGAAAATTTTTCTTATGGTGAATTAGATGCATCAAATAAACCTCCTTCTATACAAGTTAAACATCTAAACAATGATCGTATTACTGGAAGTGCAGCTCAAAAATTCTGTCTGTTTCGATTGTTCCCAATCATCTTTTCTGATATGATCGAGCATTTAAAATCATTTAAAATTTACCTCATTTTGCGTGAAATGTTGGATATAATATTAGGTTTGCCTCAACGAAAAAGTTGGCTTCCTTATCTTGAAACATTATCAATAAATTTTCAGTGTATGATGTTAGAGCTTTTGCCAGATAAAGCAACACCGAAGGTACATTATGCTACTGAGTATACAAAAATAATTGAGGAAAATGGTCCACCACTAAGGTATTGGTGTATGAGATATGAGGGTGCTCATTTGTATTTCAAAAAAATTGCTATGCAATCTTATAATTTCAAGAATATCCCGAAAACATTGGCTCAAAGACAACAACTTCGACAATGCTTTTTATTGTCCAACTGTCAATTCTTGAAAGCATTTGAAGAAGCTAGTGGTAATAAAATAATTCATATGTATGAAATAGATTCAAAAATCAAGGTTCTTCTCACTCGTCGATATGGACAACAATTTATTCAATCACAAACATTGTTTCAATGTTCGCAACTGATTCACAATCATGTTATTTATAAACAACATGCCGTTTATGTTTATGATTTAGAACATGTAGAAGAAATTCCATTATTTTTTCAAATAGTTCATATATTAAAGTTAAATCAAGAATGGATATTCGTTGTAGATCTTCTGAATACTGATGGATTTAATACTAAACTATGGAGCTACAGAGTTAGCTCATATGATCGACTTGACATTGTTTCACCAAATAATTTAAAATATTATCACAAAGGACTTGACTTATATAAAGTAGATCATTTTCATGTTGTTAATCTAACATCAAGACTAACAAAAGCAAATTGACATTTCTAGGATATAAAGCATACTGCTTTTTTTTTCTTTTTTAATCTAATTCTGTGATTTAAGATCTAAACTTTCACAATTTGAGAATTGTCGAATCAGAACCTTCTTTTTATTTTTATTGTTTTTTATTGTAGAGGAAGAAGTTGATGGTGAAACATTGTTCTATATGAACGATTTGAATCTATTGAAACCATTCAAATTGTCGTACAAAAATCAAATTATATTTTTGAAAGAAAGAGAAAAGTTATTTTCGTCGAAAACAAACGAAAAACCAACATCATCATCAACACCAAATGATACAGCATTATTAATTATAGATGAAAATCAACAAGATGATGAACATGAAAATCAATCAGCAGAAGCATCAATAAATGTATCATCTATCGAAACTATTATTACAACTGAAAATTTAACAGAAAAATCTCTTCCAGATCCTTATTTATTACCAGTGTTACCGAGTCAAGTCGACGATGCAATTAATCTTAAACAAATGGAAAAATTTGAAAAACTTTGCAACTTTCGTTCAATTATTATAGATGCTGTTTTTCATGATTTGAAAACAAATTATGGTTTGATGTAAGTATAATATTTTATTGTCTTATTTAAGTTCTTTTTTTATTTATTGGGGAGTTTTCTATAAATCTAGAGACGAGTCATTATGTTAAAATAACAAAACCCAATAGACTGTATAGGAAAATATAAAGAAGATTTTAACATATTAAATACATTTGTTTCTTATTAAGTTTTAAACTTTTAAAATTGGAATGTTAATAAATGAATTCATCTACATATTTTTTTTCTACATAGATATCCGACACGAGAACAATATACAACAATTGTTAATGGAATACTTAATCATTTGAAGATTGAACGTGATCCAAAAACATCTGTAAGTAAATCTGAAAAATAATCCTATCAATATTATAATCATTGATATTTTAGAATTCATGGCGAGAATCTCTCATTTCCAAATACAAACGAGAGAGACAAAATTTCGATGAAGAAAAAACAATCGAAATGAAGCTTAGATATTCAAGAGAAAAGTCCGGAAGAAAAATCAAAAAATATTCAACAACACAATTATCAGAAAGAAACACATCAAAAAAAGTAAGTTACACTAAAAACAGCCAAAAGGATATGTATGTTTTTATTTTCCTAGACATCAATCATTCAAGATACACCTAATGAAATACAACAAATGGAAGAAAAAGCTGAAACACTTAAAACAAATTTTCAAAATAAATCAATTGATGATCAACATTATTAACGGTTGTGGCTTGAAACTTTTGATTATCGACAAAATTTTATCAAGGAAAACACAACTGCAAATATTATGGAACGTTTTCCTGTTTATTCAAATCCATCTAAGGTTAAAAAAAAATTGCAAGACTTTCAGTATCACATTTTCATTTTAGATATTGACAGATGTTAAATTATTAACAGGTGTAGATTTGGATCATTCTGTTAAAGAAAAAATGAATTTGCTTTCTAATAAAATTTGTTCTAATGATAAATTTTTAACAGGTAGGAAAAAAGTTTATAGTATACCAAACAATAATCTTGTTTATTAGATGATCCAATTGTTCGTTGTTTTAAAGTATTATGTAGTATACTAAACGACTCATGGAAACATTACATTTGCTTTTATCCTGATGTAAGTTATCTGAAAATTTTTTTAAATTTTCTGAAATATCGCAAACATGAAAAGAATAGAAGAAGTTAGTTATATTTGGTCTTGTGTTCTAGTCAGCTAGGTAGTCTTCTTAGCTTGATTGAGAGACATCGCTTATTATTTTAGTTTTTCTTTACTTCTGACTACTACAGACTTTCTATCAACGTTGTGGTTCTTTGCTTTAAACTTTCTTAAACATGCGGATATTAGCGGGCCATAAATGTTATTCGATCAATCGGATATTTTAAAGTATCATGCACAATATAGATGCTTCTATAGAATTGATTTTCTATCAGAAACTTTGACACATGAAAAATCCCCTCTGTTTGACTTCGGCATAATCTCTTATTACTCAATAAAGAGAAGTTCTTATTACATTCCTTTTCTCTGAAGCTTATGCTTTTTAATTTACCTCGATTGATCTTCTGATTCTTTTTAGAAACCAGTTACTCCTCAACCAACAATGGTAATTGAGGAAAACGATATTAAAATCTACGTGGATTGGACCTTCATTTGCTCATCGAATTCTATGGAACAATCTTTGGCTTTAGTTGTTGGTTTATATTGTTTGATGAATCTTACGTTTCCAACGTATCGTACTGTTGTTAGATTTTTATATGTTTATTTCATGAATGATAAGCAACAACAATCAAATGTCATTCGAAAATTTTGTAAAGTATACAACATTCAACTTCAAGATAATCCTTCATCATCAAATGCTGCATTACTGGAAGAAACAAAAATTAATGATACGTATTTAAATGATAGACGTGAAAACAATGAAGAACAAAATATATCTTTTGAACTTCAAACGACAACATCAATTCAACCAACATCGATGGAATCAACATCACGTGAATCAACATCAATTGATTCAATATCAACTGAGTCAATATCAACAGAATCAATATCAATGGAACCAATATCAATAGAATCAACGTCAACAGAATCAACATCAATGGAACCAATACCAACTGAACCAAAACGAATTGAACCAACAACATGTGAAAAACCAACAGCATTTCAACAACAATCAAATCGTAAACGCAAAGCAGAAGAAAAACATGATTATGAGCAACTGTCTCTGGAGATTGATGCATCGAAACAAAAAATAACGAGAAATCTCCGACCAAAACGACACAGACAATAAGGACACATTCACAATGGCAACAAAAACTGTTTTATATGTCTCACTATTTCTTCTCTCATCATAAAAGAACTAGCGTTTTTTGTTTTTCTTATAAGAGAAGGAATTCATTTATTCGTTCGTCGGCTTTTTTAAAGTATTACTTTCTCGAGACAATTCGTCAAATAAGAGACATATAAGCCATCGAAATTTATTCTCTTTCGTATTGCTCAACATTTTCTGAAAAGATTTTTGATTGCTATAATAAATTTCCGCTTCTTTGTGATAGACACTTGAAAATTTTATTGTTAGCAAACCCGAAATTTTGATAGTTAGAATAGATACTTCAAAAAATTTTCATTCAAAATTGAACATTGAAACATAAAAATAATACATGGTTCAACAAATCACGTACTTTCACACGGTGAGTGCGTTTTTTTCCAGACTATCGAATATTCATTTTTTTTTCTTTTAGGTTGATCAAAATCGAAGTTCAGTTGCAAATCTTTATACATTTTGATATATGTATATTTCATGCATTCTGGTGAATCACAATCGAACAATTGAACTGTAAGTATATATACAATATATAATATTTTATTTCTTTAGGTGCTCAGAGATTTAAGCCTAACCTTTTCCCGAATATTCTAGATTTAAATTCTATTTATTTAGGTGGATCCAGATCGAAGGGTAGACTTTTCTTCTCCTACTGCACTTTCATATTTTTCTATTTACGATGATCGTAATCGGACTGTAAATTTTTCTATATATTGATATATGTCTATTTTATTTGTTTTTGAGTATCCAAAAACGAGATTTAAATGTAAGTCTTTATAGATTATCGAAAATGATATTTTATATATTTAGGTGGATCGAGATTGCGCGTTAACTTTTTCTCTATTATTGTATATTTGAATCTTTTTCTTTTTAACCCAATCTAAAGCAAAACTATATAGGTTGTCGAATTCTGATTTTTTTATTTATTTAGACAGATCGGAATCTAGCTGTAAGTTTTTTTTGAGATTATCCTATATATATATATGTTGTATTTCTTTAGATGGATCAAATTTGAAATGTGAACGTAAATCTTTATACGGTTTGGTATCGATTCATTTTACGTATCTAGATGGGAACCTAAATCCAAACTAAACTGTAAGTTTTTTCTTTAGATTTCGGTATATTGATGTAGTTTTTATTTAGATCGATCGAATTCGAAATGTACATGTAAATCTTTAAACAATTTGGTACATGTCCATTTGCTTATTGACATGGATCGACATCGAAGGGCAAGTTCTTTTTCTGATTATCGTATGTTTCAATTTTATTTAATTAGGCGGATTCAGATTGAACTTTAATTTTTTTCTGTTATTGTACATTTCGATCTTTTTTTTAAGCCCGATATAAATTAAAATTGAATTCAAAGTATATATAGGTCGTCGAATACTGACGTTTTCGACAGATCAGAATCAAGCTGTAAGTTTTTTTTTTGAGATTATACTATATATATATACATGGCATTTCTTTAGATGGGTCGAATTCGAAATGTACATGTAAATCGTTAAACAATTTGATACATGTGTATGTGCTTATTTACGTGGATCGATATTAAAGGGTAAGTTTTTTTCCGATTATCGTTTCTTTCAATTTTATTCATTTACGTGGATTTAGATTGTACTACCATTTTTTTTTCTTGTTATTGTATATTTGAGTCTTTTTATTTTTAACCCGATATAAATTGAAATTGAATTGTAAGTCTATACAGATTGTCCAATATTGATGTTTTATTTATTTAGGTGGATCAAAATCGAACTGTAAGTTTTTTTTGAGACTATTAGATATATATATATATTGTATTTCTTTACATAGGCCGAGTTCGAAATGCAAATGTAAATCTTTATACAGTTTGATATCGACCATTTTACTTATCTAGATGTGAACCTAAATTCGAACTAAACTGTAAGTTTTTTTTAGATTTTGAAATATTGATATAGTTTTTTATTTAGATCGGTCGAATTCAAAACGTCAATATAAATCTTTAAATAATTTGGTACATGTCTATTTGCTTATTGATATGGATCGACATTGAAGAGCAAGTTCTTTTTTCTGATTATCATATGTTTAAATTTTATTTATTTAGGTGAATCCAAAACAAGAGAGAACTATAGGTCTTTATATATCATCGAAAATTGCTATTGTATATGTCGGTAGTTTAAGATTTCACTTTAATTTTTTTCTATTCTTGTATGTTTGAATTTTTTTATTTAGCCGATCTAAATTGAAATTAAATCGTGAGTCGATATAGGTTGTCGAATATTGATGTTTTTCTTCATTTAGGTGGATCGAAATGATCAAGCTGTAAGGTTGTTTTTTTGAGATTATTTTATCTATGTTGTATTTCTTTAGATGGGTTATGTGTATTTTACTTATTAACGTGGATCGAGATTGATAGGTACGTTTTTCTTCAATTATCATACAATTACTTTTTTCCGTATTTAGATTGATCGAGATTCAACTGTGAATCTTTATATGTATTGGTACACGTCTGTCTTGTTTATTTAGGTATACGTAAAGTAAGATGGAACTGTAAGTTTTTATAGATTATCGAATATTGATATTTTATTTATTTTGGTACATGGAAATCTACAATGAACTGTATCATTATGTATTTTGTTCATGTGTATTTTATTTACTTAGATGGGTCGAATTCCAAAACGTAATTGTAAGTCTTTATGAATTAATCGAACATTGATATTTTATTGATTTAGATACACTGAAATCGAACCGTAATTTTTTTAGATTTTCCTATATATATATATTATCTATTTAGATGGATCGAATTCGAAATTAAACTGTAAAACTTCATACATTTTGGTGTCTGTGTATACTCTATTAATTTAGATTGATGTGGATTGTATGGTAGGTTTTTCTCTGATTATCACGTATTCATATTTTACTTATCTAGGTAAATCAAAATCGAATTTGAACAGTAAGTTTTTATATATTTTGATATATGTGAATTGTATTGATTTAGGTAAGTCGAAAGTGCGATTGAACGGCAAGTGCTTATGGATCATCGAATATCGATATTTTATTCACTAAGGTGGATCGAGAATAAAATGTAAGTTTTTTTTTCGATTATCATATATTAATATATTTTTATTTAGGTAGGTGAAACTCGTAAATGAAAGTGTAAGTAGTTTTGAGATAGTCGAATATTTTTATTTTTGTTTCTCTTAGCTTGGTGAAGATCGGAAATGAACTAAAAGTGTTTATCGATTGTTGTGTATGCAAATGTTATTAGTTTAGATTGATCAAACTGGAAATCGAAGAGTAAGTTTTTTTTTTATTATGAACAATTCATATTTTATTCATTTAGGTTGATAAAAATCGATATGAAGCTGTAAATGTTTATAGATTGTCCTATACTGCAATCTTATTTAATTGGACGAAACGTAGTTGAAGTGTAGATTTCTTTCAGGTTATAGAATATTCATAGTTTTATTTGTTTCGATTGATCACAATGCATGTTGAACTGTAAGTTGTTTGTGTTAGAATATGGTAAATTTTTGTAGGATTCATTTAGGATAGTCGAAATTGAGAATGTCAGAAAGATTTAGTGTGCTAATGTCTGCACGTTTTATGAGATGGGAAACCTTTTGAGTTTCCGCTTTCATTTTCATTCAGTTCGGAAACGTTTTTATGAGTTTCCGTTCTCGTTTTCATGCAGCTCGGAAACCTTTTTATGAGTTTCCGCTTTCATTTTTATTCAGCTCGGAAACCTTTTAGGGTTTCCAGTCTATAGCATCTGAAGTTCGGAAACCTTTTATGGGTTTCCGTAGGTAGCAGGTTCAAAAGCATTTTAATTGGTTTCCGATAGGTTTCTGAAAGTTCGGAAACCGATTCTCGGATACCCTAAAAGGGTTTCAGATAGGGACATTCTCGGAAACCCTTTTTGGGTTTTCTCGAATATTTTTTTTTTTTAGAGTGTAGCTTCAAAACACAAGATTGGCTAGAGTACCACTCCGTGAAATTTCCTTCGCCAACAATCCGCTCCGAAAAATGCCAGATTCCGCCAATTTCCTTGCCTCGCAATATACTTCATTGATGGCCCATATGAAAACAAACCCCTGATGGACTCAATTTCAGTTCCGCGAAATCCCATTGGCTAAGATCCCATCTCGGAAATCCTCGGATTGGGCCGATTTCGGCGCCGCTAAATCACATCGACTGTTGGCCCATATCGGAAAAACTATAATTGACTGAACTTCGGTTGCGCCGAATCTCATTCACTGATAGGCCATACCCACAATCACGTGATTGGCTCAGCTTCCCCCGCGCGAAATCTCATTGGCTAATCGCCTATATCAAACCGTCCCTCGCTGGCTGGCATTCGGCTTCGCGAAACCCCATTGAGTGAGTGCCCATATCGAAAAGCCCTTGATTGGCTGGAGTTCTGCAGCACGACATCCCATTGCTTAATCGTCCATACCGCAAAACCTCTGATGCCTCGATTCCGGCTTCGCGAAATCCCATTGGCTAAGAGCTCATAGCGGAAAACCTCTGGTTGGCTCGATTTCGCCTCTGAGAAGTCTCATAGGCTGAGAGCCCATATGAAAAAAACTCTGACTGGCTCGATTTCGTCTCCACGAAATTCCATTGGCTAAGAGCCCATAGCGGAAAACCTCTGATTGACTTGATTTCGGCTTCGTGAAATCCCACTGGCCAAGAGCCTATAAGGAAAAACTTATGATTGGCTCGATTTCGGCTTCCACAAATCCCATTGGCTAAGAGCCTATAAGGAAAAACTTATGATTGGCTCGATTTTGGCTTCGCCATATCTCATTGGCTAAGAGCCCATATATGAAAACCTCTAATTGGTTCAGTTTTGGCTTCGCAAAATCCTATTGTCTAAGAACCCATAGCGGAAAACCTCTAGTTGGCTCGATTTTGCCTCCGCGAAATCCCATTGGCCAACAGCCCATATCGAAAAAACGTCTGATTGGCTGGATTTGCTCTGCGCACAATCCCATTGGTTGATAGCCGATCTCGGAAAACCCTTGTTGATACGGGGAGTGAATTGTTCTCTACATTTTCACAAGGAACTCTGCTGAAGGTTAAAAAAAACATTTTTTCGTTCTGTGCGAACGAACGAACGAAGTTGCGAAGTTACAAAGTTACAAAGTTACGAAGTTACAACGTTACGAAGTTACGAACATACGAACCTTGCTCGGTGTATGACCCTCCTTTCAGTAGAGGGAACAATATTGAATTTATTTGGAACAAAATGACATGGATTTTATTATTACACCAAGATAATTTTATGAACATTCAATTGTATGACAAACAAAGACAGTAAGCCAGTTGTTGCACGTAATAACTATTATCAATGCGAATTAGATCGACCCAATCTGATAGAATCTAATTGGATGCCTAAACATATCAGATGAGAAAATATCTTAGCATTAACACAAGATTGCAAAAATTGTCGAATGGTTCCACAGATAAACAATGTTCGGAGATCAATAAATTGCTGTATCCATACAAATTATATAATTACCAGTAATCTTTAGAGAAACATCATGAAGACAAGAAGTTTTCAGACTAATGTATATGTAATGATGCTGTCTATATAATTAGAATTTAATCGAAATACTAATGCTAAGTCAATAGAATGAAATATTGTCAAGTTAAAAATACTTCTCTAGTGTGTTTTAAAATAAAGAATCAATATTCTGTGCTATTTTCAGATCTTCCTTTGCATAACAACGCCTTTTCATTATATAAATACAGTGAAAAAAGAACTCGTTCTACTGTAACAACAAAAACAAAAAATAATCAGTTTCTTTCTCTTTCTATTGTTATTGACACAATTTTTATTGCAGTCAAACAAATACCAACGTTATATGTAATGTAATATTAAAATATTATTTTTATCATTTACTTGTTGACAAACTAAAGAAGAACAAATAAAATAATATTTGTCTCGCTCATAACAAAGTTTGCTTTTAAGAAGAATTGAAAAAAGGTTACAATAAAACTATTCAAATGAATAATCGTTTATGACATCCAGCCAAAAAAATTTGATATTCCTAAATACTGACGAGAGAATAGTTTCGACTGATCAATCGCTTTCTTACTAAAACTTAGTGGATTGTCGGTCATCCACTATGCTGATTAAGAGCATGAACATGAAAAATCTCCTTGGATTTTCATGTACTGGTTTTCTAGAAAACCAAATTTCCACACTGATAAACACTTTTCAAAAAATCATTTCGAATCAGCTCACATTAAAGAGCATATCAATTAATCTATGAGAAAATAATCTTTGCTGTTTTCCAATAATGAACTTTAGGTAAAACAATACCACTTTGAAGATTGCCACATTGAAATATTCCTATGCATCTGTTGCATGAATTATAATAACTATATCTCTTTCAGAAAGAGAAACGATTTGGAACAAAAAGGTTTGTTAGTCTGAAAAACAAACATATGAAGACTTAAATAGGATTTTTTACACTTATATTCGGAATCAGCATAGTATTCGTTTCGAAAGCGATTGATCAGTTGAAACAGCTTCCTCGTAAGAGATTCTAAAGTTATTAACCATTTAAAAATGATCTTTTTGTAATCGATAATTTCGTAGTGATTCATATCTCAGTAAATGTCAATGCAAAATTCATTTTTGTTACCTAACCATATCAGGAAAACATTGTTTGGCTCTTGAGAGAAGTGTAGAATACTGCTAAGCATGTTTGCTAAGATTAACAAAGAATACCTTTATTAAATAAGTTGGCTGTAAAATCACGAACTATTGCCCATTTCAAAACAAAAAAGACAGGTGAGTATTTCTTAAATAAATTTTGATAGAATCACTATAGAGAGCTGCGATTTTCACCATTAGAAAGAGAAGATGGAGACGCATCGAACCGTATATTATAGAATAGTTTGACCTAGTTTTTCAAAGACTTAAATCGACATTTTTAAAAATCAACATTCTCCTTAAGGTGACTAACGCCAATTTTCAATAATGAGGTGTACCTTCAAATCGTTAAATGAAGACCTACAAAACGGCGCAAGGCTCAAACTTTTAGATTTACTTGTTCAGGAGTTATAGGCATTTCATCCCAAACTCTTAGCCGATTTTTCTATGATTTCTGTGAAAAAAATCATTTTTTTGCGTTTCTCTTATTTTAAGAGAAACCAATTTTCCGGCATTTTTTCAGAAAATTCATTAAGAAAACTTTAGAAAACATCTTAGAGAAGCATATAATATACCATTCGATGCGTCTTCATCTCCTCTTTCCAACAATGACAACCACAACTCTCTATCTTGCTTCTATTAAAAGTTATTCAAGAAATATCCACCTGCATTTTTTCTTTTGAAAGGGGCAATAGTCTCATCATGAACTAGTTGACATTAGTCAGGTAAATGATAAAAATGAACAAAAAAAGCAGTATGCCATAAAGCTGAATATCGTTCGTTTATTCAACTTCTATACATTCCTATCATTCAGACAGCATTGTTTCACAAAAAAATTTAACACAAGAGAAAAATTGCTGCTTTTGCAAATCTAATAAATCATTCAATGTCTTCATGTCCCCATAACGAAAATAAATAAATAAATAAATAAAAACTCTTTATTTTTGAATATAATAGGCAAAATAAATTATTTCATTTGTTCTTCTTTTTAATTTATTAAATTACAAAGACATACAAGAAAATTCATGAAAAAGTGCACAAAAAAATTAAAGAAAAAATACAGAAAAATAAATAAATAAACTTCTTTTTTAATTAAAAAACTCGGCTTTTCCCTAATAAATATCTTTAGTTAGCCAATTGAACTGAGTTTATTTTATTTGTGCTAAAACAAAAACGAATAAAGAAGATGTTAACAGGTCATTTTTTTTACTTGTTTTATATTTTTCATTTTGTTGTTCATCGATAGAATATGCTCTATCGAAAAATGATGACCATGAGTTTGTGCAGCAGCTAAATAATGTTTTATTTAAAAAATAGTATCAGTTAGTTTAAATTACTTACCATTTAGAGTAACACACTCGAGTGTACCCATCATACCTTGAGGAATGGTTTTTATATATACCATTTTATATTCAATTTGTGCACGTTCTGTAAGTGGGTGTAGGTTGCGTGTGGGTGTGATCTGTTCAGATGTGTGTCGATCAAGTTTGGATTGACACCAACACCCACATTCACATCTACACCCACACTCACATCCCATACTCACATCATCGTCCGATGCAACCGATGGAGAAAACCAACTCCATTTCTTTCTCTAAATTAGTAAAGAAAAAAAGAGAAGAACAATAAAACTGTTTGTTTTCAAACGAGTGTATGTATGTTATTACTTCCCCTTTGTGTGTTATGCGTACTAGAAACGTCATCACATATATGTGAAGCAGAAGAGATAAGAGAAAGTGAACACACACATACGTCCACTACCATCCTCTTCTCTTCTCTCTGCTATTTGTTTCTTCACTCAGTTAGTTAAATAGGCAGTGATAGGAAAAAAGAATTTTGCCTGACATCATCATTACAGCACATATGCAACAAATCATCTGTCGAAACTAGTGACTATGATTTATTTATTTGTAAAAAACAAAACGAAAACAACCATTTTGTTTATTTATTTATTTTTAGATATTGAATAGAAATATCTCTATCAAATCAATCAGTTCAATCATATTATATGAAGTTTTTACGTTGTGCTAGATGCTTACATGATTTTGAATATGAAAATCCATTATATCGTCCACTAACGTTACCTATATGTGGTCATACAATGTGTAGTCTATGTATTGATACAATATGTAATCAAACAAAATGTTCACAAGATCAAGTTTCAGTTGGAATAATTCATACACCAATTGATCAATTACCAACAAATCATTCATTATGAATTATTCTTTATGATCTATCAAAAGTAAATATTTAAATTAATTATTAAACACTAAAAAAAAATTTTTCCTTTTTGTTTTTCTTTTTATTTAAATATAATTACCTAAAGATAATGAAGAACGTTATGATCAATGTCCATCTTATATGAAACTTGATAATGAAACAAAATCATGTTTTAATTATGCAGAATTAGCTTTTGGTGATATATCACTTATAAGTAAACCAATAAGTTCATGTCAGTTTTTTTATGTAACTATTTTTTAGTTAATGATAAAGAATATCAATCAATATTCAGTCGTTCAACGATACAAAAAATATTTAGCTCACTAAATAGTCAATAGATTGATCGTAAAGGTCGTTTAAAAGTTCTCGAAGCAATACGTAGTCTTGGTGAACATATATGTATGAATTTTATTCTTTATCATCAAAATCCTCAACAATTAACAGATAATCTTCGGTCAGCTATTGGCTTACGAGATGATCAATTTCTCCCCATGGAGCAAAATATCGAAGGAAACGCACTGCGTAACGAGTTTCCAAGATTGTAACACGCGTTTCACAACGTTTTTCCAGTACAGAACGTGTTTTGCATTGTTTTTACTTGGGATGATACAAAATATATCTGTCTCGCATACAGAATCTCGCAGTAATTCACGTTTACAAGGCATGTAAACTAAACAATGTTAAGTTTCTGGCATTATTTTGGAAATGATATGCAATTGCATTTGAAAATTTTACTCCTCGCACTGTTTTTGAGTATAAAAATCATATTCCAGGCTTTCTGAAGGGAGGATTAAAATTGAATTCTCCTACAAGTTTAGGCTGATGGGCCGTTATCTAAACCTGATTCAAAGTCAGACTAATATTGAACATCACCGCATTACATAAATATGTTCTTCTTTCCTGATAACTTAATACTTTTTTTATTGAAAGAAAATGCGTTTCATAAGGTTCACCCAAGAATTGTCTTAAATATTCAACAATTCGAAAATATTTGGTAAAGATTGATGCTAACATAATGAGTCTGAGAATTTTGTTTGATTATTTTTAAACAAAAGATTCTTCTATTATTTATAATTTGATTAATTATTCGTATGAATTCATATTTGGAGTACTTGATAGTGACTAACATGACTATGTACAATACTACTAAACATGATTTTAGTTCATACATTATTAATAATGGTGACTTGTTAAAAAAAGAGACTGAACTTCCAGAAGAAAATTCCTTTTCATTTAGTGATGTAAATGAGTAAAAGGATGACGAATTTACCTTTAAGAAATTTATTAACTCCAGAAAATAGTTAAAAAGATTTATTTTTATATTTTTTAAAACTTAAATCTAACAGATTCAACTTGTTTAAATATTAAATACAATTCAAATCAATTAAAATGGTTTCGATTAGGCATTTAGATTTAAATTTGAAAGAGTTAAAATAAAAAATATGTCAAGGAGAGATTAAACTTTAAATTGAGTATAGACACGAAGGAATTGCTAATTTTTAATTAAGTGTAATGATAAACTGAAAATCTAATTAGGTTTACGCGAGACTCTGAATGATTATAGAATAAACACTTACATCATTCGATTATTTTAGTTGAATGGTATGTACATATGTTTTCTACTCTTACGTTCTCGTGTTCGAATCCACGTGTTGGCTGTATCAAAATTCATCTAAGTTATAGTTCTAAAGGTCTTTGAAAAAATGTAAATGAGTACATGAATGGTATCTGCAACCCAGCCTGCAAGAGGTACCTGACGGTTTTAATTTTTTTCCATCTAGAATATACGACACCACAGTTAGAGAAACGCTGCAAAACTTTTTCAGAAAAACAATCGTTCCACAGCGTTTGTGTTAGCAGATGTAAAACGCGTTTATTTCGCAGAAATTTACTTCATGGGTTGAGTCAGGTTTAATTTTTTTATCTTAATCATTGTTTATTAATTTAGCTATAAAAGAAAAGGTATTAAAATCAATTTTATTGTTTTTTGAAGGCCATCCAACATTATCCTATAAAAATCTTGTCCATTCTGTGCTATTAAGAGTTAGAAGAAACGATTCAGATGGCATTAAACCAAGTGTTAAACATATTGTTAATTTACTTTCTGTTGCATCTTGTTTTCAAATAAATATACAACAATAACAAAAAAAAGAAATGATCCTATCAGAAGTTTTCGTTTTTATATTAGGTAGAACAAGATTGCAACTCTTCATTAATACAGCTTAAATCACAATTTCAAAATTATGAAAGTCTTCGTTGCGCATATGATTCAAAAATTATTCAAACGGCTATCAAAGATCGTAAATAATTTTTTGTTTTTTTATTTAAGTTACATTTAATAAATATTTTTATATGTTAAATATATTTGTATATCACCTGAGCAATGGTCATCATTATTGTATGGTACTACACAACATGAGTTATCAATGCAATTAATTATTGATGAATTATCAAAACCAGATTCATTTTCTAAAGCATTTCCAAAATTTGCAAATGTTTTACGAAATGCTGGATATGAACCAGAAAATTTATTATATTTAGAAGAATATTTTCAATTTTTATCAAAAATTAATCTAGAAAATAATGCTCAATAACATATTGATGATAATCAACAATATGACTCAAATTGGGCGACAATTATAATAGCATTAAACGTGGTTAAAAAAGTTGGGTGTGGGTAAGATGTGGATGTGGATGAGATATAAGTGTAGGTGTGGGTGTGGGTGTGGATGTGGATGTGGGTAAAGAGACACCCACACACCTTACGCCCACCTCACATTCACCCAGACCCACCCCCCACACCCTTTGTGTATTATCTGAACAATTGTCATTCTTATTATATGGTGATACACAACATGGTTTATGAATACAATCAATTATCGATGAATTAGTAGCACTAGATTTTTTCTCTCAAACAATTCCAAAATTCGTCAACACGCTACGAAATGCTGGACGTGACTCAAAAAGAAATCCAATTTAGAAAGATATTTTACATTTCTATCAACAATTGATATTCGAAATAATGGTCAACATATTGATGATTAACAACAATATGATTGACAATGGATAACAATTATTATAGCATTGGGGTACGTTAAAGAAAGTTTTATCACTTTTGATCAATTTTTATCAACAAAAGACAAAAAATCTTTCTGAAAAAGATCTTGATAAATCATAATCAATCATATGATTTATCATCAAATATTATTTGATTTGTATTAATCTCTGTTATTCACTATCTCCTATTTTTTTTCTGTTTTTATCCTTTGTTCGACCTATCTTTATTCATTTCT